GGTCTTTTCTAGTAGTGAAATTTGGGATGTCACAGTTGGTATCAGAGCATTAGTTTATCCAAACTAGGAGTAATGATTTATTTCTGGACTTAAACTTAGAACACTAACCAACGATAGTGAGATGGGTGTCTAGTATATTTTAGATAGTACACCTGAATAGACACAAGCACTAGCTTACTTTAGGATAGATGCCTAATTTGCTTCAATGTTCTAAATGATTTTCACATGTTATGGACATAATCTACCTTAGGATAATATACAATGCCTTTAGATGCTTTACGATGTTCGGATCTATGGTCTATTGCAACCCAGATCTTGAAATTTTATGTGTTCAAGATTTCTAAACGTTTAATTAGGGTATTAGAATAGCCATATAGCTTTTTAGAGTGATAAGGGGATTTATACATATATCTTACCTATCTATATTCTTGTCACTATACATTCAACGCCTGCTTCGGTGTACATAACATCATGGTGAGGACATGTAGTAGAATAGGAAACAACATTGAGAGTCAACATCCTAAGCTATGAGCAATTGAGCATGCACCTGAAGCAGTGCACGTAGTTGAACCCGTCACAGCGGAAAATCTTAGAGCTCTGTTAGCCGAGAAAAAAGAGGAAATAAGGTAGCTGATCCAAGAAAATGGAAGAGAACCCATGGTGCCTGCTGACTAACTCGAACCTCATGAAGGTCAGTCCGAGGAAGGAAATTATAGTAGGAACGTGAATCAAGCAGAACCTCAAGTATTTAGAAGGAACAACCTGGATGAAGGAGCTGCTAGGAATAAATGCAAGTATAAGGACTTCATGACTTGTAAACCCTCATCCTTCACCAAAAAAGAAGACCGGTGAGAGTTACGTACTGGATTTTGGAGATGTAGCAGACTCTCATCACATGTGGTTGAACAAGAAGGTAGCAAACCATCTATCTTGCTGTTACTTACAGAATTATCAAGCAACTAAATTATGTGTATGATTCTTCACTTCGCATTGTAAATAACTCCCTTGTTGATTATTATGTTTTGAATTCATTAACATCATATAGAATAACCCGATTTGTACTCACAAATTATGTCTTAGGCCTATTTACTTCCCAAACCCTAAATAGTAACAGTCCTCATAAACGTTCCCCACTTATTTTGAACAACATTCATTTTTGGCATTCCTACCACCCATACCTTTTTATATACCCATTTCGTTTCAAAAGGTATCGCTAAATTCCAAGTGACACAACTTTAAAATAAAAATATTATATATAATAATTGACCTAAGAAACTAACTAGAGTTTTTTTTAATTTGAATTTGTTTTTTTAAATCTTTTCTTATAACTCTTACTTTTATAAAGTACACAAGCAAATAATTCTTAGCTTTACTTCTATTTATACTTCAATTCGTGGCTTTCTAAGAAATTTATTGGAGTGCTCGGAATTGCTTAGGAGTCCATGAATTTTTATGAAAACCTTTTAAACAACATTTCTTCCCATCAATACAAGCTTTTATAATTACGTGGATATAAATAAATATATCGACGGGGGCATACTCATCGAGTCTCAAAGGTCACATATTAACTCCACTCCTGAACTATAACTTATTAAATATATAGTTGGATTCAAAATGCAAAAATTAAATAGATAAGCTTGGAACTTGACTCGTTTTCTTTTAAATAAGAAGATTTTTATTGGGTATGGATATTCACAAAGAAACATTTTTTATGTCCCTCAAACTACACAAGTTTGCATTTTTTGTTTCATGAGTTCACTAGGACAAGGAAGCCACCAATATACTATAACACATCGGCTTAACTAAAATTTAGAGTTCGCCTCAATTATCCCACGTAACATTAGTACTCGATTTATGTTATAACTCTAAGTAGAGAATAATCGTGAAGCTAGTTAATGGTACTGAAGTACCAATATTAGTTGTGTACTGAAGCATACTGAAGAACCACATAATTTAGAATTTTGAAAAATCATTAAAGTATGGAGCAACTAATCTTTTTCATTTGCATAGTTGTGATGAGAACTTGAATGTTCCTGACAAAAATAAAGATAAAATCTTTTTGGTATTTTCTTTTGTTTAAGGTAAAGACAAAATACATAAAATAAAATATTTTTGTAGTTTTCTCTTATGTAAAGTAAAAAAAGTAAAATATTTTTGGGGTGTTTCTTTTTTGGAAAGTAAAGCAAAAATACAAGAAAGTAGAAATGAAATATTTTTTTGGAGTTTTCTTAAAAAAATTGAGAAAAAAAATTCAAATGCCTAGTGAATCTGGATTAAGCATGCCAAGTTGTCCTACAAAAGTTTAAGAACTTGCATTCATCCAGAGCTTTCATGAACACACCTGTATTCTATTCTTTTGTAGGAAAAAAATGAAGCTCAATACGACCTTTATGAATATTATCTTATAGGAAGTGATACCTAATATCAACGCGCATGGTCGTTGAGTGGTTGACTAGATTTTGAGAGATTGTAATTGCACTCTTAGAGTCACAATATATTGGGATCTGTTTCATTTTGAATCCACGATCTCTCAGTTGTGTTTGCATCCAGAGCACTTGAGAACAACAACTGGCAACATCAACATATTCAGCTTCAGTAGTGGAGGTTGAAACACATGTTTGCTTCTTTGAGGTCCAATTGACCAATCTACCTCCTAAGAATTGACAGCTACCAGAAGTGCTCTTTCTGTCGAGCTTGCATCCTCCATAATCTGAGTCACTAATGGCTTGGAGATAGAAGTTGCCTTTAGTAGGATAGAATAGACCTAGAGAAACAGTTCCTTTCAGATATTTGAAAATTCTTTTGACTGCTATGATATGTGATTCCTTGGGATTGGCTTGATAGTGTGCATACATACATGTTGAAAACATGATGTCTGGTCGACTAGTTGTAAGATATAGTAGAGAGCCAATCATTCATTTGTAGTGTTTTTGATGTATTAATTTTCCATCAAGGTTTGAATCAAGTTTGTAGGAAGTAGACAGTGGTGTCTTTGCAGTTGATCTATTCTCCATGGAGTATCTCTTCAACAAATTTTTGGTGTAGTTCTCTTGACCAATGAAGATTCCCTTACGAGATTGAAAAACTTGTAGACCTAGGAAGTAGTTGAGCTCACCCATCATACTCATTCTAAATTTGCTTTTCATCAGCTCAAGAAACTCATCACTAAGGTCCTTTCCTGTTAAACCGAATATGATGTCATCGACATAGATTTGCACGATGATCAGATGGTTGTTGTGGATTTTCCTAAAGAGAGTGGGATCGATAGAACCTCTTTGAAACTTGGAATCTTATAAGAACTTGGACAATGTTCCATGCCATGCTCTTGGGGCTTGTTTCAATCCATAGACAAGCTTTTAAAGCTTATAGCCATGGTTGGGGAACTTTGGATCTTCGAATCTAGGAGGTTGTTGAACATAGATCCCTATCAATTTCTCCATTCAAAAATGCACACCGCACATCCATTTGGTAGACCTTAAAATTCTTGTGTGCAGAAAATGACAAGAAAATCCTTCTAGTGTTGGCACTAAGTCCCATACGTTGTTGCGTTCAAATTCAGCTAACTCTTCTTCCATTGCTTTTACCCAATCTGCATCTTGTAGAGCCTCTTTGATTCTATTAGGAATTAATTCCTTAAAGATCAATGAGATTCAAAACAAGTAAAGTACGAACACAACAATGATTCAAAGGTGTTGAGCGATTAACAGTCATGCCTCAGAAGAACTCTAAGAAGAATTGCTATTGTAGAGGCGTGAGTAGGGTTACAAAATAAAAATGAGAGTTAACTAAAATATGATGCATGCAATCATCTTAAATAATCTAACCCTACTAAATACGGTGGACAAGCCCAACCGTTTACATAAAAGACTTTAACAAAAGCCCAATGACACAACAGTATAGTCCCAACAATCTCCCCCTTTGTGTCAACTGAGGCGAGAGTCCTTTATATCTAAATCTGCTTTTGCACTTCAAAAAATTTAGGAATAACATTAAATAGTGTCCTTCAAACCTAGATATACTAACAGATCATATCCTAAAAGCACTTCTTGTGACCAGTATTGTTGCTTCTGAAGTTGTTGGTTATACTCAAAACATGCTCAAGACAAGATGTAGAGTACAAGTGTTTATCCTCCAGGAAGAAGCACACCTTGTGATATTCAGAGTCATTTCTTTCACATGCCTGGAACACCATGTACCAACCTTCCTTGTAGATCTTCCCCAATTTCAGCTTTTCAAGATCTTTATGAGTTTGTTTGTGAACAAGTGAAGGCTTCCTTTGTAGAATAGCAGCAATATCAACATCCATTGTACCTACTTCTTGAATGTAAGAGATGATCATCAGTTTAAGATGGCTGATCACATGTTCGTACTTTTTCAATTCACGAATAAGCAGATTGTAGAGCATAATCCAGTTATAATGATTGATACACAACAGATATGCGAGAGTGAACTCATAAACTTGGCTTGTAGAACCTCTGATAACTTTGAATTTGGCATTTGGGAAGCTTTTAGTCTCAATAGGTCCAGTAGCCTTTACCACTGTGATCTTGCTTGCACTCCAACTCTCGTAGTGGGGCTTTATATATCTGAGGTAGAATGCGAACAAAAGTTGATCAACTCCATTATCAGTTAAGGGAATGTTCTCAACTTCGATGAAAGATAGAAACTTGAAAGCTTTTGGAGTCATCGTTAGGTCAAGTTGTAAGTCCTGACTGTTTTGAAGTTCAAAGGACACAACGGGATCTAACTAGTATTGGATTGGCATGTCAACAACTTCGTATTGAAGACACTTCAGAGTCTATGCGGGGAACAAAAGATTTTTGCCCTCAAGTGTGACATGAGCTTCTCTTTCAGCCTTCTCCTTAGCACCGGCTTCGCGAATGATACATTGATGTTCATCCATCTCTACTTCGCGAGCCTTTCACCTTTCCAATTCTACTTCATCAAGCTCTTCCTCTTCTTTGTTGCCAATGATGGGATCATCAAAGAAAACTTTCTCTTTACCCTTTGGCTCTATTTATCTTTTGACAACAGGCACAGGCTTGACTATATTTTGTTTTGGTTTCACAACAGTTGGCTTTGTTGTTGCTGATCCCCCCTTGTTTTGGAATGCTGGAGGATTCCGAATAACCTTCCAAACGATGAAGAATAGCGAACACATGCCGCAACTTTTCTCCCAGATGTTTTCGCACATTGAGGGAAATCATCTGGTACATGGCTTCAATAAGATCCGAGAGCAAGGCAGTGACATCATAGACGCAACTTTTCATAGTTGCCTTCTCTGATAACAGATATTGGACATATTTCTCCGATTATTCGAGCTTCAAATAGAGTGTCTTAACTTTCTTAGTCTTCACAGCGAGTGCATCCATTATTTTGCTTTCCATTGCTTGATCATCTTGAATATTGAAGAATTGAGATGAAAAGGAAGACTAGAACTTATCGTGGTCACCTTTAAGACCAGTTCGAATGTCTTTAAAATTTGCTCGCTCAAACTTGAGAGAAGTGCTCAAGCTAGAAATGTCTTCATTTGCTGCAGTTGTGTTGGACTCAAATGAATGTTGAAATTTGTCTATGAATACCTAATAATCAGATATTAGTTTTTCAACTTTTTTGGTCGTTTGGTTGTACACCTTTGTAGATTCATCCATAGCAGTAGTCATCTTTTCAATATTGGATGAATGTTCCTTGGTGAGAGTCTCAAGGATGGTCTTGACAGAGGCTTGAGAGTAGTCGTCAGAAGGCTTAGAAGCTTGAAGTAGCGAATCAAGCTTGTCATGAATGGCTTGGAGTTGCCCTTTTGTCACAGGAGTATCATCATCAACCTCAGACCGGATGGTGACGGGACTGAAAGTACATCCCTGTAAATCATCCTCACCATCTCCATAAATCATGTATGGGTTATCAGTGCGACAAGGGGAAATAGGTGGGGAAACATGAGTGGTGGTGAAACCTGAGATTCCAGCCCCCGCATCAGATGCGTTGACCGAAACAACAGGTGTGGCTGATATAGTTGATGGTGGTGTGGATTCAGTGAAGATTGGAACAGACAATGGAATAGTAGCCTGTGGTGGAGTGGAGATTGGTGGAGGCCATGGTGAAATAGTGATTTGAATGTTAGTGGTTGTAGATGAAGGAGGAGGAGAAGGAACAAACTCATTGAGAATTGGAGTTTCCTGAGGAGTTAATTTATGACCTTCGTTGCAAATGGTATCGCCGTTGTTGCGAACATCTTCATGGTGAACCTCCTCATTGTGAACCTCTTCGATGTAAACTTCCTCATTGTGATCCTCCTCGTTGCAAATGTCAGACTGAGTATCTGACTCCGAATCTACGCTTTTACTTAGAGTGGGAGTCCTGCACTTGCGAGCTGGCTTCTTTCACCTTTTGGGAGCAGCAGTAGAGGTTGATGTTTTTGCCTTTCGCTTAGAAGGAGGTTTTTGCAGCTGTAGAAGGCCCTTCCTTGTCAGTGGACTTCTTCTCTCCTTTCTTGGAACCTTCATGCCCTTTTTTTGGGTTTATTAGCGTCAGCAAGGATAGCTTGCATTTCATTTGTCCACTCGCGAGGCCCATATGGAGTTAACTTCCTATACCCTTCCAAACTTTTGCTAGACAGAGGCACATCTTTGAACATAGCTTCTGGGATTGACCCAATAAACGAGAAATTGGAAGAATTAGAAACAATTATCCCAGTAGTGCGAAAAGTAGTGACAGAAGCCATCAGAGTGTTTTGCATCACCGCGATCTTGAGCTTTTCAATTGAGCAGTGGACTATGAGAGTCCAAAAATAAGCACATTAGATTTCACTATGACGTGTGTTGGAGAGAGTGCTCTGAATAACTTGAGCCCATAGAAAAGAGCCATAGTCGATGTTCGAACCTATGTAGAGACCATAGAGAATGGCCATGAAAAGCTTGCTAGCACAATCCAATGTTGTTACCCTTTCAGAGAATCTCTTAAAGAGTAGGGTGAAGAGTCCATTCCACTTTGGATGTAAAATGGGATTTCTGAATTTTGAGACGGCTGTTAGGGTTTCTTTGCGACCCATTGAATAGAACATCTAAAGAAGAGCTGCATTTGTCACCAACTCTGGCTTGATCATGTGATCCGATTGGGGAATCTGAAGGAGATAGAAAAATCGAGATTTTGAGATTGAGGTTTTGCGATCATGGATATCAAACGAGATCCTTTATTCTTCCTTGATGTAGTTTGCTGATGAGCAATACCTAGACAGGAGAGAGAGAGAGAGAGAGAGAGAGAGAGAGAGAGAGAGAGAGAGGAACGTTCTCCATTTGAGAAAGAGCAATCGTGAGAGGAGAATACTTGAGACATTCGATCATGGGGAAGATGAAGTTGTCAAACCTGACTGGATCGAGATCAATCACTAGCTTTTGATGTTGTTTGATATCCAAAAGAGAAGAATGTGCTTTTTGATCTTTAGCAGAGAGGTTTTCAGACAACCCGCCATTGATGAAGCTTTGAGGAAGACGATGAATAGTAGAGAGCTTTTTGAATTGTCAAAAACTTTGAGAGAGGTTTTTGAGTGGTAATGAGAGATGATGTATAGAAAATAATTTATACCATTTTATTGGAGCAAAAAATTTGGAAAGAGACAATACTCGATTACTGAAACGTCGCCTTGAAAAGCGCGCTTTGATAACGGTTCATGTCAGAGGCAGACGTCATGCGCCGATAAAGCAGGTGACCGTTCAAATTATCACGCGCCTTTTCAAATTCTTATCTATAGGAGATTACCGCGTCATAGTTGCCTATTCACCGTTATGGAAAAGTGATTACATTTGTAGCGAGCCATAGTCTTTCGTAGTGAGATTATATTGAGAGAGCTACGAACCTTTGATTAACTGTTAGAACAACGAACTAGATTTTGAAAAGATCACTAGGATCTTCGTGGAAGAGTGTGACAAAGAGATAGAAATAAAGAAAAATTATCTAAGAAAGTCTAGTCGTTTCTTTTAAGAAACAAAACTGTGGATCCCGGGCAAAGATCTCTTCCTTCAAGGTCAAGAGAGACTTCGAAGTGTTTGTGAGGTTTCCCGTGTGAAATACGATCAATTGATTATTAGAAAACATTGAAAGGAATCTTTTATCAGGCTTGTAAGGGTGGCTTCATCTTCATCCAAACTCCAAAACTTGACATAAGCACGAGAGTTGGACAAAGTACTCGTGTGACCATTGTAGCCAGTTAAATGAGTAGGTTCGTAATTATTTAGGTGACATGGTAAAGTTAGAAATCTCAAAAATAAAATAAAATTGGATCTTATGTGAAGAAATGTATTTGTATTAGAACATTTCATAAAGATCGCACAAAAGAAAAAGAAATTTCATGGTACAACGCACAAATGTGGCTCTCGTTGATTCCTTGGTAAAAATCTTGAACATTTAACAGTTTACTGTCAATTTGTGTATGTGTGTTGAATTTTGGGTTTCAATTAGTTCATGGTGGATAAAACTAAGATCATTAGCACATATTTGGTACAACTATAAACCTCATTGGTAGAATCTAAGAGTCTCAAGGGTTGTAATTATGGATACGAAACAGATGGAGAAGTTTAAAGATGGTTCAAGAAAAGCAAATGTACCTCTGATATATGAAAGTGACCAAGCACATAACTCTTAATTCAGTGTGAGAAAAGTAAGGTAGGTCATGCCTGATGCGAATTTAACAGTGTGATTGGGAAGAAACGAATGGTAGATTCGATTCATTAAGGCTTAACATCGAGTCCATTGAGGCTTTGGACTACATACATCAGCATGCTTCTATGGACACTTAGATAGTACATTAGTAAAGAAATTAATACCTGCCCCAACATTCAAGTGAAAAGAGATAGGTTTTGAGCCTTGCATAATTAGGTAAATAACAAAACAAACAAATAAGCAAGCAAAAATAAATAAGAGAAACCAATGTTTTTGGTGTTTTAGAATTTTTGAAAATGAGTTGAGAAAATAAAAATAAAACAAACAAATAAATAAAACAAAATAAAATAATAAAATAATAAAATAATAATATAAAAAGAAATAAAATTAAACACAATAAAAATATTTTCGTATTGCTAGAATTTATTTAAAACATAATAAATAAAAGAAATTTAAAACAAATAGAACATAAGAAATATACAAAAGGTACATAAGTAGACTGAAAAATCTGAAACACATATAAAAGGTTGACTACGAACTACTATGATCGTTCGTACCAATTCACAGTGTTAAAGTAGACTGCGAACTACTGTCAGCGTTCGCATCGATTCACAGTAATGAGGTAGACAACGAATGAACAGTTGATTGCGAAGTACTACAAACGTTCCTACTGATTCGCAGTGTGAACATTATTGATTAGGAAATGGTTTTGGTAAGGATTCAGCTTCCATCATTCCTAGTCCTTGAAGTATTGTATTAAAAGTGGCCTCAGGCTTGGCTTTGGTGAATATGTCAGTTAATTGATCAGCGGATCTCACGAAGTAAATTTCAACGTTGTCATCTTCTATGTGATCCTTAATGAAGTGATACCTCAGTGCTATATGTTTCGTCTTAGAGTGTTGCACTGGGGTATAACAAATATGAATAGAACTTTCAAAGTCATAATATAAAGGGATTTGTTTAATACTCAAGCCTTAATCACGAAGTTGAATTTGAATCCAAATGACTTAGGATGTACACGAGGCAACAACTATGCACTCAGCTTCAGCTGTTGATAGGGATACACATGTTTGCTTCTTAGAATGCCAATTGATAAGTTTTTCATCGACATCAGCATTGGAACCTTCGTTCTTGAGTCTCCCATCATCCCAAACATGGAAAGTATATTCTTCCTAATTAATGAAAATGCCTTCCTGACTCTGTCTAATGTTGAGTCCAAGGAAAAAGTTAATTGGACTCATGGAGCTCATATCAAATTTAGTTTCCATTAATTTTCAGAATTCAGCAGTTAGACTGGGATTAGTCGATCCGAAGATGATATCATCAACATAAATTTGGAAAATCATTAAGTGGTCAACCTCTTTCTTACGAAAGAAGGTTGGGTCAACCGATACTTTTTTAAATTTGCACATTTTTAAGAAGCGAGTAAGAGTTTCATACCAGACTCATGGAGCTTGCTTTAGTACATAAGTTGCCTTGTCCAAGATGTAGCAGTGATTGGGATGCTTCTCATTCACGAACCCAGGTGGTTGCTCCACATATACAGTCTCTTCAATTTTTCCATTCAAGAATGCACATTTAACATCCATTTGAAATACTTCCAAGTTCTTATGTGCTGCATATGCCAAGAAGATATGAACAGATTCCAACCTTGCAATAGGTGTGAAGGTTTCTTCGTAGTCAATACCTTCTTCCTGGAAATATCCCTTGACAACAAGTTTCGCTTTGTTTCTGATCATATTCCCTTCTTTATCCAAATTATTGCTAAAATCCATTTCTAATAGACAACAAATGCTCCACGTTGAGTAGGAATTAACCTCCAAACTTTGTTTCGTTCGATCTCATTGAGCTCGTCTGGAATCTATTGCGCCCATTCAAAGTGGTCAAGAGCAACGCTAAGGGTTTTTGGTTCAATCTTGGACACGAACGAATTGAACATACAGAATTCCATTTAGAGAGTAATGCAATTCATTTCACTTTTAATTGAGATCTCGTAAGAATGGTTGTAGAAGATTCACTAATGACTTGGGTTTTTGGGTGATCTATGGTCCATTTACCAAGTGGAGGATAGTTTGGATCATAAGAGGGTTCCAATTCAGTGTTTACTTCTTCAAATTCTGATTGAACGTCCGAATCATCATTCACATCCTTATTCTCTCCCTCGAATGACGGGTGGTCCTCTTCTTCAGTAATTAAAGAATCCCATGTGAATGGAGGTTCGAGAGTCATTGTGGGAGGTGATTCATTTGCATTAGTTAGTGGTTCAGAAGAGAATGATGAAATGAAACCCTCCCCCTGGACTGCAGCACTCGTGTCTTGATGTACTTTCACAATTGATGATTGTTGTTCATATCTTTCAAAGCATCATCGATAATCATCTTCAATTCATCCAATTTATTGTCATATGCTTTTGCTTTAGATGTGATAGCCTTCTCTGGCTCATCAAAAAGTAGCATGAATTCTTCACAGAGATTTTAGATTGGAACATTGGCTGGACTTGGCTTAGGAAAAATTTCCTCCTATTGATTTTCTTTTCACTGAATCCTCTTCAAGTAGTTATCATCGAAGGTAACACATTAGGTTTCTTTTATCTTCTTTGAACGTTTGTTAAAAACCCTATACACCTTAGAGGTCAGCAAATATCCCAAGAATATACCCTTATCAGCTTTCGCATCGAATTTGTTTCGTTGTTCCTAGGAGTTGAAAATGAAACACCTGGAACCAAATACATAGAAAAACTTAACGTTAGGTGTACAATTATTTATTATTTCATAGGGAGTAATAGAGCATCGCTTATTCAGAATGGATCTATTTTGGGTGAAACAAGAAGTCACAATTGCATCCGCCCAGAAATAGAGAGGCAGACATGTGAAAGACAAAATGGTTCTCGCAGCATCACACAGAGAGCAGTTTTGCCT